CATCAAGGGAAAACAAATGAAGTTCATGAATGCTTACTGATTATTTATGGATTTAAAAACTTTTTAAGAAAATGCATTCATTAGTTCATGTCTATCTCTCCGTTTGTTTTTAAATTTCTTGATATTTGATACATTTTATTTTTGCGAATATGTTCCTGTTCGTTTACAAGATATTCAGTCGCTCCATGAAAGCATTAGTGAACTTAATATATTTTAGAATCACCTCTGAATAAATACGCTGTCTTAATGGAAACAAATAATACACCTTTCGAATATGCAGATCTATCCGTATTGCCGGTAAAAAGAATCTGGCTTTATCTGATTCGTCAGGATCATATTTTGCCCCTTTTCATTAAGCATATATTTGGCTTCGCCGATCAGCAGGTCATTATTGTAATCACTTTGATTTGTTGAATTTTGAATAAATTCTGAACCATTTCTGATTTTACAGAGTTATATGTTCCCTTACTGCATTTTAATGTTTAGAACGAGAGTTTTCTTCGGGAAGGTGTAGGCGAGTTGGAAAGCAGTGATGCCGTAAATGTGTTCAAAATTGTGCAGCGAGAGCATGAGCCAATAGCAGCATTTTGTTGCAGTGAGGTTGGTGATTAATTCTTGGTGTATCAGTTAGCTTATCACTTTTGCTTTAAAATACAGCAAGACACACGTTGATTCAGTGATAAGGTCATGAGACTTCATTATTTTTCGTTTTTATTAAAATAAAATAAAAGGAATTTGTAACTGTTTTCTGATTCTTATATGCTGTGTTGATGCTTAATGCTAATATGAGTTCCTTATGGACTGTTTTGTTACACTTCGTGTTTTACCTGTTTTTTACATGAGGGAATAATGCGCTGTTTTATTTTGTTTGCAGGTGAGACATGGTTGGTTAGTAGTTTCAAATACACGAGAATTACAAGAAATGGATATTACGGCGTTGCTTAACGATGCGAAAAATTTAAAACTTTCTGCTTGGTTGTTTAATCGAACAGAACTTGATGTTGCACTTGATGGAACAAAAAGGGATGTGTTTAAGGTATACGTCTATAGCTTATCTGGTTTCTTTTTATGAGTAGTGTTTGATGGTTAACTCGATTTTCTTTTTCCTCATAAATCCCTTATCATAGTTTACGATTCTAGATTCTAGTTCAGTTGTGAATTTCTTGATTTGCAAATTAGCATATTTTGTTCGTCGTGTTTACTCTGTTGACATCGTTCAGTGGATTGTTTTCGTGGTTTATATAGGTAGGATAGCGATTGAAACTGCCCATGCTTTCAATAAAAAAAAAGAAACGAAGTCACGAATTTTAAGGATTTTAGAAGCAAATTACTGCGGACAGGACTATTATGCATTGAAGTTTTTCTCCAGAATATGACACTTGAAAATGTTGCACTCTTCAGAAAATGATCCTTCATTTCTGTGTAATTGTGATGATGAGATTTGCAGGATAACGATGATTATCAATTAATAACTGAAAATGGACAACAAACCACTTCCGTAAATACAGTAAGCACTTCTGTTTGTTGTTAGTGCTATTCTTTTTTTTTTCCCAAAAGCAAAGTATGCTGAAGCTTGTGTTTATAGATTCTCCTTCATTTATTTGACTTAATCATATAATTTACTTTCATTTTTTGATATACAGATGACTCCATTTATTGTTGATAGAAGCCGAAAGGCTCTGATAAAGGTATGTGCATTATAAAATGTTTTGGATTTTGTGTGGCATAGGTTTGTGTTGGATGTTGATTTTGTCATTGACTTTTTCAACTTTTACTAAAGTCTTCATGTATGGTGCAAATATGAAAACTGCATTAGGAAAAGGTAACAACTTGTGTTGAACGTGTATAAATGCATGCATTTTTGTTTATTTGATTGTGAGCATTATGCTATTATGATGAGCCTTTTTATCACTGGATCCAATTTCTGCAGATGTATAAAAGACAAGTTAATGGAATACGGAGGCTTGATTCTCACCCAACAATGCCTTATTGTACGTTTATTTCTTCTGAATATTTTACTAAATCCTATTTGAATGCACTAGGATTAAATTAAGGCACAATATCTTTAATTATTCGTCATGTGTCAGTCATTTGTGTTGACAATTTTCTTTTTATTTGTAGACATCAACTTAATCTTGAAGCATTGGAAGAAACAGTGGTTTTTCGATAATAGATTTTCATGTTATTCTTTTGCAGATGTAAGTGGATCGTCGGATGGCTCAATACGATTATGGGAGTGGGGTGTTGGGCAGCCTGTTTTTACACCTCGAATAGCTGGACAATATGCCAAAGTTTGTTTCCTTTTCTTTTGGTTCCAAAGATTTGTTTAAATTGTGGCTATGAATTTTTGGGAACTTTTTCTTTATAACAGGTCACGAAAGTGTTGTTTTCCTGTAATGGAAGCAAATTTGCATCTGTTGACAACGATGGAATATTATGTTTGTGGCAGACAACTCCAGGATTGCCAGTGAAGAAGCCGTTTTTTGTGAGTTTTTTTATTGCTGATAATACAGTAGCGCACCAAATATAGCTGGAGTAGTTTTCATTATTTCAGAATCAGAAATGTCATTCTAAATCTGCAGCAGATGTTCGATTTCTGGGTTCCGCTTCTTCTGTTTTGGTTACTGCTGGTCTAAGTTTATCAGACGAAAACATTAGTCTTTGGGACACCCTTATGCCACAGTCAAAAGCACTAATCCATTCATGGACAGCACACCCTGAAGGGGCAACTTCTGTGATCTATTTGTCATCATGTCAGGTTCTCAATTTTTTTTTTTTTCTTTGGTTGTGACGGTGGAATTTTATGAAAAAAAGGGTAGATAAAAGGGAGATATCAGGAAAGTTGTGCTCGTATGTTACAAACTTATTCTTCATGATAGTTTCCTCCGGGGTAAAACTGCCTACTATATTTTAAAAAATAATCGTATTTGAACGATTTTTAGACTATAGTATCTGGTGGACGACATGGAGAATTGTGTGTATGGGATGTTCGACAACGTCGATTACGTAGTACCGTGAAATGTTTCGAAAATTCTTCTGTCAAATGTCTTGCGTGCGATCCATTTCAGCAGATCATTGTTGCTGGGTCGAATGATGGGGATATAAAGGTTACTGATTTTTCATGAGGAAATTTTTGACAGATTTGAAAAAACAATGAATTTCATCAAAGGTACTTGATATATATGGAAGGTGTGCATTTTCCATTTAACATTTTCAATCATTGACCGACTTTTTCTCGGTGGTGATTTTCTGATATTCATTTTTTGATTTAGCTGTGCTCTTTATTTTAAATTCGATTAATAAGGACATATGCAATAGGTCTGGAATACTGATCTTGTGCCGAACCTTGTGGCTTCGCTTGACGGTGAACATGTTGCTCGAGGAGGATTCAGCTTGCGTCAGGTGGCTTCAGTAGTACAAGGGGTGCAGCAACTCTATGTTGATCCAGAAGTTCGTCTTTTTTCATGTGGTGCCGACTGTTCACTAAAAATACGTTCTTTACATGCTGTAACTTGAATAATAAGAAAAAGAGTGCCCAGCAATAAACATGGAATATTGTTTGATAACGTAGGTTGTGAAAAGCATCATTTCTGCTTTATGAATTGAAAAATAAATTTCCCTTCCCCAAAAAAAATGACTGATCGTATTATTATGTGGTACGGTGTTATGTGCGGAAGCCTATCTGAATTAGTTTCCATAGCTTTAGTATAAAATCGCAGCTTAAACTTATTTGCTGGCTCTAGCATACTCATAACGAAGTAATGTTGATGTTCAGCAAGTAATATAAAAGTGTTCGGGAAAATGCTGTCTGCGGTTTTTCTTCCAAGTTTTGATGAATTGCATAGCAGTGTCTTCTTTGTTCATGTTTTATAATAATGGTGGCATTACACAATATCTGTGTGTGCTTTCGATTTTGTAATAGTTGTGAAATGTTTTAACGTAAATACGTAGTAATTTGTCGTTCTCGTTAATACCGTTAGCTATCATTTGTAATAGCTCTATTGATGATGTAAGTTTGTCTTCATGAATTTTGCTTCTAAATTGGTGTATGAAACAAAGTGCTTGTATTTTCTTTGTATATGTGTACGTTTGTGCTTTGTTAATAACCATTTCAGGATATAACGCACCATATGTATTTTTACAATTCATTAACTTATTCTTTTCATTGTCATCCCGCTGTAAGTGGCTGTGTACTAAGACTTTTAAAAAAAATTGTAATGTTGTAGCTTCCTAATCAATTTATGTTTCCTTACATTGTTTTCGCAGTAAATTTTCCATAGCATTGAATATTGTTGTTTTGTACAGAACCAAAGTTTCCCATTTAAGATTAACTAAGAGAATTAACAACTAAGGAAGGATTAACTTAATACGTGCGCAAAATCGTCTGTAGTCATGAGATAGTTAATTGCATAGCAGTTAGCAGTGTTTCCTTTTAAACGATACTTTTTTTACCACTCTAGCAACCGTGCGAATGTCTATTTGAGCTTGTGGTTAAAACCTGTGATACAGAATTCGCTGCGTACCTTTTCCTGTTTGTAAGCAGAAGGATAAACCGCGCATATTGGAAAAGCTGTGGTGTTTTGACTGATTACCATATGCATTCATAATGATTACGAGTACTGTAACACGCCCGCTAAGTGTTGTGGATATTGCAGTAAATTAATGTGTTATTGGACTGTGTTCTCGAGAATCCTTACTAAAGTGTTTAACAGCGGTCATGTGAGCATCAGATGCAGTTTACCTTATGGGGAGATGTTATTCAAGGCTTAGACGTAATGCGGCAAGTAGGGTTAAATCCCTTCTTGAAAGTTATTGACATAAGATTAGCGCCAACACTATATTTCCTATAAATACACTACAATGAAATGTTCAAGAAAGCTCGAGCATAAACAACATACCTTCCAGGACAAAACTCCTTGCTGACGCGGTGTTTTATCTAATTATCTACTTGTTTAGCTGTTTTTATTGCGTGTATGTGATATACAGCACGTGTTGGGAAGATGGATGATCCAAGTGAACGAACTTGCTATGTGTGCAGCCTTCATGAAAACATCACGGAGGGACTTTTGAAGGAGCTGTTCTGTCAGGTATGTTTGTAACTTTTACTATTTATTAATTATGCGGAATCAGATTATGTGATATGTTGAAGCTGTCATTGTGTATTGATTTGGTCGATATTAATCCTAAAATTAATTGTAAAAAAGCTATTTTTAAGGTGGGGCCACTCGACACAATCATTCTGCGTACGAGCAGTAGTCGTGACTGTAGTGCAACACATCGTTATGCATTGATCGTATTCAGGCATGAAGTGAGTGTCCCATTTGCATGTGAAATGCTTGATCGAATTGAGCTTTTTAACAAACAAATTTCGGTTCGACCTAAGCAGGGCACTCAGCAGGTAAGCCTTCTACTTTCTTAAAATGAACAGAGTATCTCTATTTTGATGTTGTATAGTATGTGAAAGTATAGGTATCGTGAATGTAAATTGTAAGGGTCATTGACAATCTTCAGGCTGTACAGTACTGGACCAACACTTCTGTCCCTGCATTTCATAATTCGGTTTCTTATCCTCTGATGCCACGAAAATATGCAAACAGTGGATTATCTGATCCATGCAGACGCAGACAAAATGAAAATGAAGAGTATTATGTTTAAAACGCACCGAGAAGATAAATCTGGTGTTCTACGTTAAGGTTGGATGGAGATATATTAGAAATAACGATTTCTTGAATATGAAAGAATTGTGGGCATTTATTTGTCTGTAGAAATAATATACGTCTCCATCAAAATTACACGTTTTACTTGACTATTCCATACTTACTTTTCGTGACATCTTCGTATTTTCAGTTTAGAATCGTTGGGCAGATGTTGTCGCATTGTAAATTATATTCACTAATAAAACTTCAGTGCTTATATAGTTTTGCATTCCTATAAGAATAAGACCGACGATTAAAAACTAACAAAGCCTTTGTTGTCTAATTCAGTAGATAGTTTGAATTACATGTGTAGCAGTTGCAGACGAGCTCTGCCTATATCTTATTTTGTCATTAATATTAAGACTTTAGTTATTAATGAATAATGAAGTGTCGTGTTAGAAAAGATGCTCTTAGTTCTCCTGAATGATATGGTAGAATATAAAAGTCACTGATGAGGTGAGCTGCTATGAGGAAATTGAACTTTTTGAAAAGACACTCGAATAGTCCTTTATTTCGCAGCAATATCCTGGGATTTGTTTTCTGCATCATATTAACAACTGAAGCATGCTCCAAAGGTTACGCTACTGTGAAATATATATGTGAAATTTTGCTTTGAAAGCTTTTTTTCCTGCTGAGAGCTCATATTATTGCTTCAGTTACTCATATGCAACGTTAGGATACCGTAGACGCTTTTTGACTTATTATCTGGTTATGGAATGAGCTCCTTAAATGCAATGGTCTTGCTGTTTTTTGTAGTACCAGTTATTTAGCAGTTCTACTGGTTCACAGCTTCATCTTCTTGCTTTATGTATGTTGGAGTTTTCTGTGATTCACAAATAATACTGAAGGAAAACTGTTTATTGTCCAGTAGGCTATAAGGTGATGTATTTCAGATGTCATGAATTTCCTTCTTAGTCATAATTTATTTCAGCATATGTTGTTTCAATGGGTGAAACTCAAATCTGCTACATTCATCAATTATTCCCAAAATATGTACTACCTGGAAACACTTCTCATTACTCCCTTGCACAAGTTGTTATAATTTATAAGTAATTTCATATTTTGATATAAGATTCTTAAAAGTTAGATATTTGTGAACATACTGTGTAACAATAGTAAATAAAATGCATACCTGATGTGCACGATATAAATGACTTAAATTATGCAGTTATCATCATGTGTTATTTCCGAAGTATTCTCAGTAAAAAATACTGGAGAATACTGTTCACGGGTAAGAAATAGTGCCATTATACACCAGGTTTTCTTATTTGGGACATCATATCTCTTTTTCTGACTGAACTGTAATGCAAACAAGTTTTTACATCGATTAAGAAGGCTTATGTTGTAGACCGTTGAATAGTTTCGTTTACTTTGTTTAGTTATTACGCGTTGGTATTCTGTCTGTGTTTCCGCTTAAACATAAGTGTTGATTCAACTTTTTTTTCCCGATCTCCTTTGACTGCCTAATATCAATATTCCAATTATTAACGAAGTTTGTAGGTCAGTATATTTGGAATTTCTGAAACAAATGAAAGCAATATGTGATATTCTCAGAAAGAACAATCGGTTTTGGTTAACATTAAAATGGAAGAGGTACGCCCAAAATGTTCATGAGTCGAAAGAAGAAATGATATCTAAAACAGCGTAGAGGGTATCATCACTTTCTCCTGATTCTACGATTGTGTCTGCATTTAGCGAGAATAACAGAGTGTATCGGAGAAGTGGATGGATTTTACGTTGCTGTAATTTGGCATACTTTTTTTCAAAGAAATTACCATGTTTGCTTTGGAATAAAGCTTAGCTTGATATAACTGAATATCAAGATATGAATTTATTAATTACAAATAAGTGTGTTATTCGCTGGTTTCACCACTTATATCTTTGCAGTGGAAATACTGTAAAGAGGTCGCGACGAAATTTTTTTTGTTGTTAAGAGTTCGCAGTATTGTTGGATGCTCTGTTCTCTTTTCTTTTTTAACGTAACTTTTGTAATTATAACTTTTATAAGCATTTTTATGATTTGATGTTTTAAAGGGTTATTTTCACCTCATTTTCACCTCTTAAATTTTTATTCTTTTTGATATTTACGGCGAAAATATGTTTCCGTACTGTTATCTATTGGACCTGTAGAAATTAAATAGCATTGCAAATACTGTTTTTTGTACTTGCAAAAAGACAATGACCTCAGAAAGACATCGCTTGAATCCTGGGATGGCGAGAAAATTCTGGGTGGGATATCGAACTACCTATATTCTTATTATGTAAATCGTTCAGTAGCTAGCATCTGCACCATTTTTGAGGACTAACAGGGCTGTGTTTCCTGGATTAACCTAAAACTTTCATTGAGTCTTACGGAGATTTTACGTGTTCTGAAACTGTGTGCTGGAGGTTGCTTAATTGTTCCTATGTGTTGATTAGATCTTCCAATCCTAGCCTTCCAATTTTCCTCATTAAGCTATTTCCAACTATTGGTAGGAATGAGCTTCTTCATGACTGTCAAGAAAACTAAGATGACTTTATTTGTTATCCTTCAAATTACCGTTCGTTTAACACTGAAAATGAACTATGCTGTTCATGAAGTTCACTCCGTATATGCGCTTTATTGTAAGTAACTTATTTCAAGTTAACTTTAATTACACACTTGAGATATACAAGTGTATCAGCCATTGGGAATCTTGCATTGAATATGAATAAGGACTGACAAATGGTTCTGGAAAGTGGAATTTAAAATCAAATCTTTTGCTTAGATTGCTTGCTTGAAGGTTTCTTTACTTTATTGATAATTGTCATCTGATTTGTACAGGTGTGATTTCATATATATTCGTATTATTGAATAACATAGAAATTGCTTAATTAATTACTAATCACACAAAGATTTTTTTTTAATCTGATCTGTCAGGCCATTTTGATGGCTTTATACATTCTGTTTCATCGCTATATTTTCACGATGTTCTTTATTTTTTAGTAAAACGATTTTGTTCAAAAATGAAGGGAAAGGCAAAAACTTGTCTGAAAGCAATAAAAGTTAGTCCTTCTGCTAAAAGTATTATAATGAAGCCCACCATATGCAAAGGATCTGAGGGTGTAATCAAAGAAAGGTAAGTGAAAGTTTTTTTCTTGAAAAAGGGGAAAAGGTACAAGAGAAATTATTTCTTTATTATAGGCTATATTTAAACATATATAATACTTTTTGAAGCCAACACTTTCATTCTTTTCAGAAAGCCTGCAAGAAAAAGCAAAAGTGGATCGCAGTGCGCAGCTATGCGAAGAACTCCCGTTGGGGGAAAAAGGGAAGCAAAACAATTTAGCGCTTACAAATATATTTTCCACAATGTGGTGTGTGATTTGTTATCGCTTATTGGGTGACAACGTAATTAAAGCAAACGGTAGGTTAAACACAAAAGTAATTAGAACAAAAGAGAGAATGTGCAACTGAATTTCATTGATATATATATATATATATCAGAGTGAAGTGTCATTTAATCTTTTCTCATTTTTTAGATGACCTTCGGCTTGTGCATTCCAATAATGATGTGACGGAGGTTTTGTGTTCATGACCTCCTCAGTATCCTAATATTTCACGGAAAATTAAAAATTGTTTTTTTGTAGGAGTATGAACGGACTTTTTTGACAAAATTTATTTTTTATGGATGTGTTTGTATGAGTTTATTTTGATCTGTTACTTGGATTGATTTTTTTCTCTGCAATTTGTTGGATTTATTTTGCGATTCGTTCAATCACTTTCCGTACAATATATGTCGTTAAAGAGTTACCAAGGGTGAATGTGCTGTTCCGTTTCTCACCAATCCATATGTTAATATGGGTTTGTATGTGGTTTATTATTGGGCAGCACTGATTGCAATGCTCATTCCTTATAAAGTAATTATATGTTTCCTATTTATACACATCGTTATTTTAATGCTTGAAATAACCTTATTAAATATTCTTAAATATATTGTATTAAATATATCAATCTTATTAAATATAACTAATCTTATTAAATACATTAATTTATTAAATATTGTACCAGCAGTGATTCAGTGTTTTCCTCCCTGAACCTTTTCAATTCTCACTCAATTTCTTCTATTCACATTCGTGAATATGAGGTACTTTTGATTATTTATAAAGGGCTAAGAGTCTCTTAAAGTACTATCCTTTATTTTCAGGGAATTCACAAAAAAACCAAAACTTGAAAAAAAAATTTGAAACCAAAAAACTTGAAAAAAGAGCGGTGCCAAGGACCGACATCAGTTAGCTTTGTTATTCAGTCAACAACTTGAGACTCAGGTGGACCCTTATATCAATCAAGTTGTGTAAAAATGAGCATATTAATTTATATTTAGAAAAAAAAAAAAAAACTAATGAAGTAACAAAGTGATGGCATAGGTCTGAAATTGATGCTTTTCGCAACCACATAATAAAGACAATAAGAATATTAGTGAGAAAAATATTTTCATTGTTGAAGATGCTGCAAAAAAACGTTGGTTATCGTACGTTTATGACAAATGTTCCAATATTAGTCTAGAGAAAGCGAATTGTCGTAATTATTATTGCAAATGTGGCCCAACTTAGAGCTGATTTTAAAAAAATTAAGAAATGATCATAACTTGAAAAATTATAATTAATCAAACATTCTTGTAATTTTTCCAAAGACGATTAGAACGAATTTAGAATGTGCAGCAATTAATATTGATCGAACATCATGGAACTTTTAATTTTGTTACTCAGTGAAGTACGATAAAATATAAAATAGAAATATGGCAAAAAATACAACCTAACTGAGACTTTTTAACCAAACAATTTGCACACATATGAGATGGTTGTAATCGTTTATAAGCAAAAAATGTTAGTTGTATGCATTTTCATGTATGAATGTCACTGCTTCGAGAGGATTCTTTGTAGTAAACAGATTTTACGGTAGGAAAGTGGACTTAGTATTTATTTTCTTCCCTCATCTGCAAAGAAAGGATTTCTTTTTTTCTACAGTTTGGGAAATGGACTCTTCAAGGATCTGAATTTGTAACATTCAGAATCAATTGATAGCTCGTCTTCAACACTTAGATTACAACTTCAAAAACCTTATGACATAGATGTCTTGCAGTTAATTGTCATTTAACTTTTTTTCTGAGTTAATATTAATAATAATTTCATGATTAATATCAATAACAAATAATTCATTTATAGAAAAAAGTCGAGTTTAATAAAGTTGCCTAAGAATTTAGGATATAGCAGATTTTGAGAAATTCAGTTTTCAGTTTATAATTATTTCTAGGGTTTTTTGATAAAAATATTAATTAATACTCACAGCTGTCTAATAAAATGATTTTCTTAGAGAGATAAATAGCCTTGAGCAACGAAAAAAAACAGTCTGCAATCTGAAAAGTGAATTAAAACATATTGTCAGATTTGTAATATTTATTTGTAGCAGAATGTTTCAATCGTGAAATGAAATGAAGTGAAAGATGAATAAAGGGAAAGATTGTGTTAAAAGTAGTAATTATACGTTATAATTGGCTGCAGAATAAGTTAGAATAAGTGGTTAAAATGGCAGCGAAATAGTAAATGCCTTTCTTTTTTGCTGTTCCTTACAAATATTTTTAATGAATATCTATAGTCCTACTCTCAACTGTGATTCCACAGACACTTCTAAGTTGAGATGTCTCTTCTGAATTTCTCTATTTATGTGTATTCCGGATAAATAAGAAGTACAAATGCTGATCATAATAATTATAGGATGACACTGAAAAATATAAACTTAAAAATGTTGACAACGTAAACATAACAATGAGTGATGGAAGTGCTGCTATAATCACTTTTGATAATACTGCGATAGTCGCAAGTGATTCTGGTATCCATTATGTATTCATACATTGACCATTTCATTGGTCTATGCCGCCGAACAGTTCAATCAGGTTGGGCTTCAAAGTTGAATCTATTTTTTAATAAATTTTAAAAACTTTTATGCTTTTTCACAGTAACACAAGTAGCCAAACACTTATCGTATGTGAATGCTCAGTATATTGATCTGTTACCATGAACATATTATTATCATTATCAGTCATGTAGCGAGTAAATCAATTATAACATATTTTTTAAAATAAATTTTTAAAATAAAACTTACTTCATGCAATTATCACGCTTGTTATTAAAAGATTTGCAATGAAATGGATATCACAAATCAAAATCTCCCTCAATATTTTCTACGTAAATAAGTTCGAGTGATATTTCAAATGATAAACAAATGAACCGGATAATTACTATTTAAGATATATTATATGACGTTCATTCTTTTCAAATATTTTGCTACTTTTTTTTTAAAAAAAAAAGGAAAAAGAACTTCCAATATAAATTATTTTATATTAAAGTATGAATTTACTTGTCATATTTATTCCCAAGAAATTATTTTGTTATCCTCTTAATGTCTTGCCATTGCATCTCTCAGCAAATCTAATGCTGACAAAAAAAATGGTAGTGAATGTGGAAAAGTATTTCCAGTATACCATTGCTGGAAATTTCAATTTCAAAAGAGTCGATAATTCAGTTTGCTGGACTAAAACTTTCAGTTCTGACTCGACACGGAAGTACCCCCAGCCATGAGAACAATTCGAAGCAAAGTTTTTTTTTTTTTTTTTTTTTAACTTCAACGATGTTTAATACCAATGTTATATATTTCAGTATAATATATAGATGCTACATTCATTTTGAATTTTTTTAACAAGAAGTAAGACTGCCTATAACTCTTGTTTATCTAATTCTAATCAGAATCGAAAAAATACAAAAAAAAAAGTGAAAGATTAAAATAGTGAAAAGGCTTTTATCCGTCTTCTATAAAAAAAATGAAACACATTTCCAATGTTACATTAGAAAACAATCCCACCAACAAATTAACACAATGATCATCGATTCCTTATCTTTCCTGTATTGTTGAAAACATTAAGAAATGCATTTCAGATCATCACATAAATTACCGTCTTTTCTGAACTTGAATACTAAAAGAGATAAAATTATGCGATAAAAGTTTTTCACCCTTCGATGGAAAGTAAGCAAACAAAAGCTGAACGAAGAGCTCGTAAAACATTTAGAACAATTACCTTTATTGTTGGATATTTTGCCATTCTGTGGTCACCCTATTACGTCGTAGTTAGTTTTTACATAGTGATTTGCAAATTTTTGTAATGAAATTGTTTGACGACAAAAGGGAAGGACATTTAAGAAAGTTTTGTATTACACATATATCTGATTTTCAGGCAACCGTATATGGATTTTGTTAGCAGTGTATACCTTCACTACTATATTCACTCATCGTATGTGCTATTTTAATTCAAGTAGCAATCCTTTCGCGCATGTTTTAGCCAACCGTCAGTTCCGCATCACTTTTCTCCTATGTTGCGCGGTGGATTCAATAAAAATATCTAAACTAAAATGCTGCGAAAACAAATCTTTACAAGTTTTTATTGTTCAGGATTTGTTGAAATTAAAACTATTCTGGAGTATCTTCTCAGCGGAAAATAACTAGTTGTACGTTAAATCGACTTTAAAAAAAAGCTGTTCCTACAGTGCCCAGATGTTGCCATTTTCAAATTTCGGACTTCCTGGTGACGGAAGCCCCAACATAACTACGACTATGTAGAGCTAGCAGAATGATCTCCTTAAAATTCATTCATGCCATCACCGACACTGCCAGGCTTACGAATATATCTTTCTGAATCTAGAAATTCAGAAATAAATTTATATTTTTGTGTTTATCGTATATTATTACACTAAGTACATAAATATTTCACATGTCCAAAAATCAGTAGTCCCCACGAACAAATTTTTGTCAGAATAAAAGGAAGCAGTTTAGATTTGTATATGCAATACCTATGTTCATGCTTAAAAATGTTAAGATATTTGCAAGTGGTTACCATTTCTAAAACTTGTGACTGGTTTCATGAAGATGTACGCAGAACGCACTGTACTCACAAGATAAGGTTCACATATAGTTTAGACGACTCATTACTTTTCTCTGTCCATAGTTTTAGTTGCTAAGTGGTAAAATAACCCTGTACGCTATTTAAACAATTTAAATCATTAGTTGAAGCACTATAAGTGGAAAAAAGGATATAAAAGAAAAATAAAATTTGAACAAAGGAAACAAAAACGAAAGTATAAACGAAAGAATAAATGCACTAATTTCTCTACTGAAAGTGACAACTGGGACTACTATAGCAAGAACTGAACTTACCGCTGTGTCAGTTAACAAAGTTCCCGTTTATTGAACCTTGATCTTTTTTAATGTCGCTAATAATACAGTTCTGTCGCTCACGTGAAGGTATGTTAATCGCCGTTGTATTGAGCCTTCCAAAAAGCGGATATTTCCTGGGACT